GATTTCGAGCAGTTGACTATATCCGATAGCTATGGAGTCATATTGTGTAAAGGCCTTTCAATCATGTTTGAGAATGTTCGTTCGTGACTCAGATAGATACACATTCATTTAGACCCTTCGTGATCCTACGATGCGCGCTGTCGATTTCGATATGTTGCCTTTTTTGGATTTGCTTTATCTGGTAAGTTTCCGAAAGGGAAAACCGTATATTTCCTAGCAGCTTTAGCGAAAAAAAAGAAAGATTGCGTTTCCTTAGATTCCGGTTGATTATAAAAAACGCTTGTATTTGCATTATTTTTTCAAGAAGCTCTTTAACAGTACTCTTCTTCTCCGAAATTAAAACCACAATAGGAAGGAAAACTATTGAAAATACGATATTTGACTTTGCAAAGCAAAAAGAGGACAGTAAAAGATTGAAAAATGAATTTTCTAAAATTCCGTCACGCTTCATGTACACCACCCTGAATAGTGGGAATTTCGCTAGCTGTATTTCTCTTGAATTTTTGCGTTACTAATGTTGAAGAAACGACAAGCTTGTCGCGCACAGATAACCGTATTGCAACTCTCATTAGCCCCATTTGACTTCGCAGAATTTGCTAAACTAGCTGTCACCATTCCTGTTGCAAATGGTAGTCCAACTGGAAGGGAAATACGGAGTGTCCCAAAATTAAGTACACACATTTTATCGTTGCTAACACTCTTCCCTTTGAGACTTTTCCTTAGCTTCAAACACCATTCGATAGAGGAGACTTCAACTTACATTTACAGTATGGAACGGATTATCCATCCCCCTTCATTACTGTAGGATTACGGTAGGAATTTCCAGCATAAGTTTCACTTAGGCCGTTTGAACAAAAAGTTCCGGAAATCTGGAATGTTGTGTAGCAGTGTTTTCAGACATAATGAATTCATTAGACAACTACTTGGCGTTCTAAAAGTTTTTAAATTCCAATCATATTTTTGAAAAACACTGATGAAAACGTTGTTGCAATTGCGATTTACTTGGCATAACTTAAAAAAGGCCCAGTAAAGTGCGAATATTGTATTGATGCAAGGACTCAATTTAGACTATTGGCAAAATTTTTAGCTTGTTGAGTGGCTGTTCTGAAGACATTGTGTAGACACGAATGGCTAGAACACTCTCTGAAGTTTCTACCGTAATCCCACATTAATGAAGACCTGGATGAATCGCTGCATACCAGAAATCTAAGTTGAAGCCTACTCTATCGAATGGTACTTAGAGCTAAGGAAAATACTCAGTGAGAAGAGAGTTATTAACGATCAAAAAATGTGTATTTTCTTTTGGAGCACCCTCTATCTCTTGGAGCTATTTTACATGATTGCGATGGGTGAACTTCACAAATATTCCACATCAAACATGGTATACTTTATAGCTATGTTTTATTGAGCAATAGCTGCTCAAAACTATAACAAAAAACAATTCAACAACAAAAAACAACAACAGACCAAGTAACAGCACCATATACTCTAACAAAACTCAACAAAGTGTAAAGAACGACTTGATTTGCAAACAAACATTTCAGCGCTTGCTCAAGATATACTACGCTCGATTATAAATAAAAAAGAGGCACTACACATAAATCAACATGCATCTAATCGTCCTCGTTATTTTGAGCCCGCATTCTCTCGGAATGAAGTCGATTTATCACTCGGTACGGCTTGAGAACATCAATCTTACGCTTTCGTGAGACTGTCTTTTTCGCATTCTTTTTCCGTTTCAACAACGCAGCCTCTTCAGGGTTAGTCAATGCCAGTTCCTGAATATTTTCAGATAAAATGTTCCAGATTTGAACAGCTGCTACATAGATGACATATAGAGGACACCGAAGCACCTTTGCTTTCCGTTTCCGTTCTTCTGTTTTTAGAATGGAAGCCTTCTGACACTCCGCCAATTCAGCAGCGTATCTCTGCTCACCAATCTTATTCTTGAATACCTCGCCAACCTCCATGGAAATGGAGAACAGTTCTTCAGTATCTGAAAAAGATATTGGCATGATCCAAGCGCGTCAAAATATATGTGATATATATTCTGGTGGGGTACAGCAGTAGATTTTGTACTGTCCATGCCAAAATGATTACCTTTAGATGACTTTCGGTTC